CGGGGTTTGCCCCCACCATTTGGGGAGACCCTTTCGGTTTTTTTTTTTTTTTTTTTTTTATAGGATTCCCCAGGTTTTTTACCCATTTTTTCCCTTCCCTCGCCCTTTTTAGAGGCAAGGGCGCCACCCCGCCGGCCGGCAACAAATGGGGGGGGGGCGGGGGGTTTTTTGGGCCCGGGCTTGGGGGATGGGGGTAGGGTCCATTTGTTGGAGCTTTTCCGGGTTTTTTATTTGATATGTTGGTCTTTCCTTATGTTGACCCTCATTTTTTTTTGGGGCGGGCTTCTTGGATTCCTCCCTGTTTTGGTTTGCGTTTTTGTTGTGGGTTTTTTTAAAATGCCGGATTAGGAGGGGGGCTTCCAGACCCAGAAGGGGGACGGCGGCAGCAACAAGTTGGCCGGCGGCTTCAACAGGGTGGGAGGAGTGTTGAGATTTGGGGCAGTTCGCCGCCCCCCCGGGGAGAGAGTTCATCCCAGGGCCCCTCCTGGGGTGTGTGTTTTTTTTTTTTTGGGATTCTTTTTTTTACGCTTGGATTTTACGCAGGGAGGATGATGGAGGATCCCGGGGACCAAGTTTTTTGTAGCGCACTTTGGTGTTTCCAAGAGAGAGAGGGGGGGGGGGGGGGGCGGGGTGTTACGTACGTCCCCGCGTAGCACACTCTCCCGACTCTGTTTGTGTCTGGCGAAAGACATGGGGTCGAGGTGGAGCGGGGCGGCGGCCGTACAGCTGTGCTCGTTACCGTGCACGGGCGCAGGACGAACACTACCACCACCGACACTGGCACCCCCGTAAGGTCAGGCAGGGTGAAAAAGCACGTCAGGTTTTCGCGTTCCTAGGTAGGCGGACGATGCATACAACAAGGAGACGCGTGTCCTTATGTTGTTGCGAGAAAAGGGCCAGGCTCTACAGCAGTCCCCTCCAATATTTGGATTCGAGTTCATTTGAGACGCGTGTTGTTATGTTGTCGCGAGAAAGGGCCAGGCTCTAGGAATGGAGTTCATTGATTTCCCCCCAAAACACAGCGCTCCGTAGGTAGATGTTGAAGGCGGTTCGAAAGGGACTGGGAGAGGGTGATGTCCCAACGAGCATCAGGCAGCGACCCCCAGCACGTGTAGTCAGGGATGTGGAAAGGGTTGAGGCCGTGTGATGAGTTGGACAAACAAACGAATGTGAGAAGTTTCTGCCACTCGCGAAGAAGACGTGTGATTCCTCTTGATTGGGGGCGACGGGAAATAGGGGTGGGGGGGGGGGCTTGGAGAACGGCGGCGCCTATGAGGCAAGAGAGGTTATTTGCCGTTTGGTACTGTCGTTTTACGGTCGTCAACAAAGCCGTTGTTGCGGGGTTGTGACGTGTGATGCGATGGTATGCGGGCCAGCTGTTGCTGTGCTGCCCCCCGCCCCTCACTGCTGGCTTTGGCAAAGTTCTGGGTACAGGTACAGTACATTCCCTTGCCTATGTAGTCCTTGTGGCCGCGCTTTTTACGTGCTTTTTGTATGCATAGTGGTGGCGGTACGCTACGGGCCGTTGCCGTTACCTCGTTTGTAACGTTGTGATCACAGTAGGGCACCCGCCTTCGACATGCGTCCCGTGTATCCAGCGTGTGCGCACCACGGGGCATTTCGGCCGTAACGACGGACAAAGGAAAACGCGCTATCTGGCTTTTGTAGTACCCGCATGGTGGGTGCCTCTTCGCTTTGAAGGACTTTTAAGACTTACTCCATGATGTAGAAGTTGCGTAGTCGGCCCGCAATTGGAAGAAAGGCGGCCGCGGTATATTCTCTGTTGTTTCAGCTTTACAGGGTGCGTTTTGTGTACCGACTTGAATCCGTCCTCGCGGATGATCGATCTTCTTAGAATATGATGTAGAGTTGCGTATGTAGTCGGCGCGCACTTGGAACAAAGGCGGCCGTGGTATATTCTCTGTTGTTTCAGCTTTACAGGGTACGTTTTGTGTACCGACTTGAGTCCGTCCTCGCGGATGATCGATCTCCGAGACGTGCCAGTTTCTCCGCCGCTTCCGTTTGTTGGGGGTGCGACGGTTCCCAAGGCGGACGTGGGCGTTGTTTTTCTGGGTCTCTTGTTCTTGAGCTATGCCGACATGCAGATCAGGGTTTGTTTTCGAACCGGACTGAGAAAGGATTGATTTACCCTCACCTTTTTGGGGTGCAACTTTCTCGACGTATGATCATGCGCTTCTTTTGACATGAAAAATCGCGTTGACAGTAGTGGTGGTGTTTTGGTCTTACAAGATGGCGAAGTGTCAAGTCTCCGGCGGCCGTTGTGGTATTGAAAGACCACGGTTTTCCTCCTGGTCAACGCGGGTGGGTGCCGCTGATTTACTACCGGCCAATATCCGGTCATCCCTGCGGGGAGCGACGTCGTCAGCCATGCATGGTCAATGAGACGTCAGCCATGGTCGTCCAGACGTCCCATTGGTGCTTTTTGTTCGAGAAGGGTCCAACCCTTTCTTCGTCTGTGGTATCCTCTTTGGTCGTTCGGGATGTCATGGACAGAACAACCACAATCACTCGCCGCTGCTGTTACTTATTACTTCAACATCATCACAAAGCATGAGTGGGCTTTTCACACACACGCCCGACGATCCATTTGGCTTGGATCCGAGGGGAGAAAGATACGATCGAATCTATCTGGGATTGGCCCAGAAGATCCAACCAAGGTCATGACGACATCAGATCTCGATCTACGCTGCGTCTATCTCCCACAACCAACCGTGCATCTCGTGCCCGATGTGTCTGGATCACTTTCTCCCAAGAGACTGGGCACACCCGCCTTGGCCTCTTCCTTTCACCTCTGCGACTGAAGCAATAATGGGTCTCACAGATATAGACAGAAAAACCACCGCCCGTGATTCCAAGCCCATGCGTGCATTATGTTCTCGGCATCTTCATGTCAAACGAAATGACAACCACGTAGAAGTGGCCTTTTCTACTTACACTGTGTCGTCGACCATCAACTTCCCATGCGGCTTGCGGTGTATCCTTGCCTGTATCTTTCTCACGCAGCCGTGTGCCAGATAAACTCGAAAAACGTTGTACACACCATCCCGTGTCATGAGCTGATGAGCTGTAATCACCGTTACATACAAGCGTGCATGTTTTCGAGTGCCCACCAACTACAAAGAAGTTGCTGCAGAGGACCCACGTTCCTCACGAATACCAACATCGAAAAAATGTCTTGCACCACCGGCCTTCGTGGTTGACGAAACACGCCTCGTCGCATTTGAAAGGGGCTGATACTTGCAGTCCCGACCCCGATCTCCCGGTAGGAGAGAGACCGACAGACCGCATTACGCTCACGCAACCCTGCCGTCTTCTCCCTTCCCCCAGCCATGACGACGACTTTGCTGGTGGGATCGAGCCCGGATGCCCTCGCTACCGAGCTTGTGAAGCGGTTGGGTGCCATCGCGAAGGAGTCCGTGCTGGCGCGGGGCGTGTTCAACGTCGCCGTCTCAGGCGGTTCAATGCCCAAGGTATTCTCCCGCTCATCATCAGAAGGAGTAGTCTATGTATCACCATTTGCTTTCACGTCAACGTGCTACACTGCTCATCACCACTTGTCTCCCCAGTAGGGCTCCTGGTGCTTGCTCATGTTGGTCTTCGTCTGTCTGCCGTTACTTCCCGTGAGCGTCAGTGGTAATAGAGGAAAGCGGGTGTAGACCCAACCTCCCAGCGCACCAGAAATGGACCCGGACAACTCTTGTAGAATGATACACCGATGTACAGAGTGAACCCAGATACCACACGCCCCCGAAGGTAGTTGTACATGATAAAACTACCACAAACGGTGTGGTTTTTCGTTATCTACACATACTCCTCAGAACCGATGTGCAATTATCTACCACCGAGGTGGAGACTATCGCTTCTGTACCATAGACTATAAATAGGATGCTAACGTACCTGGAGTATCTTTCGGAGCATCTTTTGGGTGTGGATTCTGAGATCACCCGTGCGGTACATAATTAATGCCTTCTGGCCTTTCCTTTCTCCGTGTTCACCATCTTACCCCCCTCTGTGCTCGACCTATAATATTATCTCTCATTCTCCATTCCACACCCAAACGTTGGTCGATGAACGAAAACGCAACAAAACACATCGGCAGCAACACCTCCCCTTTTGTCCAAAAACAACAGATTCTGTCGGGCCTTGCCCAAGCCGAAGGCATCGACTGGAGCAAGACCAGGATATTCTTCGCGGATGAACGCTGCGTCCCTCTGGACCACAGCGACAGGTACGTACGCCAGTAGCCCCGCCGCGACGAGGATCATTTCAAAATCGCGCGGCGGACTTGTACCCTTCCTCTCCCCTCCTTTCCTTGTGTGCGTGTCCCCTTTCATCTTACGAACAAACTATTAATACTAATCTTACTCTTCGCCTTGTTTACGTGTCTCCACGCCCACCATTCCCTCTGTCCCTCTCAAAATATGAATGACAATGTCAAATAAGGAAAAATACTTGCAGTCATTGAATACCACACGCAGTGGTGCTGTGTGCAATATCTGGCATCCCTCACCCCCACCCCCCCGTTCGCCGCCGCCTCTTTTCAACTTTATATAATGACCTGATTGCAGCAATTACAAGGCCTGGGAGGGACTCTTTTCTTCTTCGGGCATCCCTGCGGAAAACGTGGTAGCTGTCCGGACAGACCTTACCCCGAAGGAAGGTTAGACAACGAACGGCCCGAGGACTCATTTCGGACTGCTTGACCGACTCAACCTCCTCACGGCAACTGGAGCTGCATCGCTGACCCAGTCTGGCACGCTGCTGCTGCTGCTGCTGCCGCTGATGACGATGATGATGATTGTGGTGATGGTGGTTTTGTTTTTGTTCCGCCGTCGCTGCAAGAACATACGGCCTGCTTAAGTCGTCGTTGACCCGCAATCCACCTGGTATCTCCTCTCGAATGTCTCGTTCTGTTGCCACATGTCGGTAATAATAGCACAGGAGGTTGTAGAGTGAGTTTGCACACGAGAACGCTCCGACGACCGATCTTGCACCAATTTTGCAACTCAACCGATTCGGAAGAGCAGTCTGGAAGCATTTGAAGATGAGTAGGTGCTTGTCGCAGTGGGACAGGAGGGGAGGTTAAGGGGCCGCGGCGACCCGGAGTAGTGTCCCGTGAAAGACGGGTTTCTTAGTGCCGCTAGTGGTCTTATTCCGCCACTGTCCCTCTCTCTCTCTCTCTCTCTCTCTCTCTCTCTCTCTCTCGCTCTCTTTCTCTCTCCCTCTCTCTATTTCCTCCTCTCTTTGGCGCCTCATGGTGCACCATGAGCCCAGCGGCGGCAGACTACGAAGCCAAGCTCAGGCAGCATTTCCCCCCGCCAGAGGGAGACAGCTCGGCAGGGGGCGCCGCCGAAATACTCCCCACCGCGTCGCCCCCCCCGAGCTTCGACGCCGCCCTGCTAGGGGTAGGGCCCGATGGCCACACGTGCTCGCTGTTCCCGTCGCACCCTCTCCTGGAGGAGCGGTCTAAGTGGGTGGCGCACATCGAGGACTCCCCGAAGCCGCCAAGGCAGAGAGTGACGCTGACATACCCGGTGCTCAACAACTCGCGGAATGTAGGTCTGGGGAGAAGCTTTTTTCGGGTGGTGTGCGTGTCTGTAGGTGTTCTTGAATAAGGTGGTTGTTGTTGTTGTTGTTGTTGTTCTTGTTGGTGGTGTTGTTGTTGTTATTGTCGTCGTCGTCGCTGGCACAGTACGTAGTTCAGGCAGCGGCGTGCGTCGCGAAGAGCTAATTGCTGTGAGCGAAGAAATACGGTGGTGCCGTTCATCATACTCAGCCCCCACCTCGTCCAATCAAACCTCATGTGTGCATAAACAAAAAACAAAAAAAAGGCCATGTTCATCGGCACCGGAGAAGGAAAGGCCTCCCTTCTTCCGCAACTCCTCTCCGTCGGGACAGACGGTGCCCTCGAGTCGGCTGGAGAGTCGTCGCCGTATCCCGCGGCAAGGGTGAAGGTAGCCGAGGGGAGGGCGCTGGCGTGGTGCGTGGACGAAGCGGCGGCGTCTCAATGCCCTCCGGAGATCGCGGCGCTAGCGACCAAGTGCTAGGCGGCTTGATCTTGTTTTGTGGTCTTGTCTGTCACAACTGGTGCGCTGGGCCTTATCTTAGAAAGCACCTTTTTTTTTGTTTTCTTTGTTTCTTTGACCCCACGTGTGTCGGTCGAGAACCCGTCTTGTGATTGCGAAAGGTGGGCCGCCCCCTCCAATGGTTGCTTTGTTGAACACGACGCCCTCTATTGTTTTGGGCGCGTTCTTGTTGATCTGACCTCTGTTATGAAGCAGTAGCGATCAGCATGCATTTTCCGCAACAAAACAGCAATCGGTCCCGAACCGATGGGTGCGTGAAGCTACCCACCGTCGGAGGAAGCGTCGAGACTGGAGCATTTTTTTCTGCCACTGCCAGCGAAGGTTTCAACAAAAGTCCTTAACTTCAATTGGATAGGGCTGAAGCCACTCTGAAATCGTGCGGGGTTTGTAAAAAAATTCGGATGACGCTGGGTGAGAGGGTAATCCATTGCTTGGAATCCATGGAAAAGTGTGGTACGCTTTGGGCACAAATCAAGGTTGACAACACCACGTGAATTGCAGAGCTTTGGTGAGACCCCGAAATGCGTGAATGTTGACAGACGGGCAGATGTTCGTGTGCGTACAAAGGTAGTAAAATTGAGTTGACGTAATGAAATCGGAAACGATCTCCCAAGTGCGTTATGTTGGCTCCACATGCACGAACGCTTCTCAACGTTAGGGACGCTTAACAAAGCTAATAGCTGAATCCCCTTGTAGAGCAGAGCCAGACCGCTGCTGTTGGGAGGTTCCAGACCCGCGAGACCAGGATTGCGGGGCTTCCGACTAAACAGTGCAGCACCAACCAGCCGAAACCAGCTCGTTGGGAAGCCGCGTCTGTCTGCCTCGTCTATACATCGATTTTGAGACTTCGCACAACACCAGTCTTGCGCCGTTCGTTTGATTTCGACAACACTTCGTTCGTCGTAACCAACCACGCACCTACGCATGCACGTGCAAAAGAAGGCGGGCCTCGGATCGGAGGCAGCCCTGCATGAGCAGGGCAATTGATGCATCGATTTTGAGACGCTAAAGGACGACGGAGTGTCGGTAAGGGGGCTTGTGTCGCCCTGCCTACCGGAGCGCCTCTGACCAGGCAATAAACACAAATTACATACAACAACAGCACTTTCGCGGGTGAGCCGGATGAAACAATTCAACACACGCACAAACCCACACGTGGAATTTCCTCGTCCACGCCGACACTATCTTGGTCGTGCTCGCGTCATACCTACCTGCACGAAAAAAACATCAGGATTTGCGTCGAGGTATCGACCGACGCCTGGATACCGAACACACCTTAAAGTCACTCCCTACTTCAAATGACTTGAGCTCCTTATTTAATCATACTTGAGTGCTATTCTCGCGCGAATCCTGCCTACCAGGTGGTAAAATACGTTTTAAAGCTATTGTCATCTCTGTTTCGCGCAGCTCCACTCTTTACACTCCAACTTACACGCGCACATCACAACACACAATCCCATACAACATCCTTTGAAACTTATCCTTTGAAACGTATGGACGCCGTAACGAACCGTAACGACCTTCCGGTGCGGAGGAACCGTCAATCCATGAACAAAGAACCGCAAAGTCATCCTAGGAACCGGGAAGAACAACACAATACAAGGGGGTGGAGGTATTGATACAACGGAGCAGGGAAAACTAGGGGGCCCGGTGGATTCCTTAGAGAGTCGTGCCCTCACCAGGTTCCATGAGTGCTTAGATACGTTTGGATGCTGTTGGTGGACGCTTGTCTTCTTCATCTCTCATTCCTCTCTTGGCAATGGGATGGGATACGACCATATGCACACGACAACCAACTGTTGCGACACAAACTGAAAAAAGCGCTCTCGCTTGGAATCCGCGAAGCACCGAAAAAGAAAACGCCCCCCCCGCAGGGTAGGTATCGCGCCGCTGCCAAAACATATTCAGTCTACATGACACAAGCTCTGTTGTTTACAAGGGCACACCACCACCACCACCAACAATAACTGTAGGTCGGTCTTTTGTTAGCGAGGGCACACCAACATCACCCGACAGAAACTGCATGCCGCACCACCCACAAAACTAGTTCGACCAAGAACCGCGAAGAGCATTCTAGGGGCACATCGCCACCGTCCTCGTTTTCCCTCCACCATGACACATCGACTTACAGGTGTCCTTGCTACGGCGATAAAGTGGAGAGACTCCCGCCGTTGTTGAGGAACCCTTCTAGTAGCGCCCCATGGTACCATTTGTCTATCACGGCTACATAACCCTGGAGCCAGGATCACGGTGACTCCCTCATCATGTACAGCAGTAACCCATTTGTGTTTGTGAGAGCAGTCTCTTTCTCTCTCTCTCTCTCTCGTTGTTCTCCGGTGTCCGGCGGCTGCCACCCCGCTATCTGTCCCGGCGCGAAGCGTCACCCTTCTCGCCGCCCCACCAGCCCCTTCCCCACGCCATCGCCCTCGAAATCTCCCACCCCCCCCCCCCTCCTGATGTCACCGTCACCCCTTTTCGCCTCAGCTCTCTTACCGTTCACCATCACCCTAGCGTCGCTAGGACCGATGCTGGGCACAGTCGTAGGCAAAACAGACGCCTTGTTTCCCGCCGAACCGGCGGAGGTTGCGCCGCGTTTCTCGCGGCTTCGTCGCTCGCTTCTGCTGACGATGGTGTACCTCACCGCACCGACGAGTACCAAGACGAGGCCGAGAACGTTCAGGCGAGACACGGACCGGTTCATGCGCAAGACGCTGAACGCTACAACCAAGATCTGGCGATGCGGGAGGGAAGGGCGTGGGCGAGAAAGAGATTGTTTGATTTTTTGCGAAAGGGCAAGAACACGGGAGCAAAGGTGTGACGGTTTGGTTTTGTGCAACGCTTCACTAACACAGTCGATGCCAGCCGGTTAGCGCGGTCGACGCTAATTACATAAAACACAACACAAGACGCCGAAGAGTGCAAAAACGTCATCATCAACGGCAGGGCTTGCCTGCTTCAGCGCGCCCAACACGCTGACGGTGAGGGGCGTCGCGAACTTGGTGGCGTGCAAGGACATGACCGTCAAGACAAACGACGCGATCCCCGTCAAGGCGATCACGTGAGGCGCCCAGCCCATAGAGATCTCCCTCCACCGACCCACCACGCCCGACACCTCTCCGTGCACCAGGGCGAACGTCGACATCTGCAAGCATATGTACCAACAAGTTGGTTTGGGGGGGGGTTGAAGTTTGTTGTTAGTGTTGCTGGTGTCTTGAGATCGGACACGGGTCCGTTTCGTGCTCAGTACCTTCTAAGGAACATCAGTTCCGGTCCAACTGACGCGGACGTCTGTCGTGGTCACAGCAAGCCAACCGGTCTACACACTTACATGGAAGGAAAATCAGGAAAGGCAGTGACAAGCGACGGGAGAGAGGGAAAGGCAGTCCTCGGAGGCCGCAGTCGCCAGTCAGACCGTAGACTCTCGCTCGCATCTTGTCGATGCTCGGATGCCACAAACTTTCTTCCATTTACCGAACGGGCTACCGTTGCACTGTAAGGTCCAACCGCTTTCGGGTGTTCAGCAACACGCTTGACAGGGGTGAGCTGCATCATTGAAACGTCTACACCGTGTGTTTAGCCGGAGGAGAGATGGACTAACTTTCGAAGCGGAGCGGGCAAGGCGTTTCTGGTTATCCACGACCAAATGAACCCCCGCCCCAAGCCGCGACAAGCGGCCTCACTGCAAAGTACTGTGTTTAACACATCCCTTGTGCTCTCGAACCGGGAGGTAAGCAACACCGGGCACATAACCTGTTTTGTTTTGTTTTCACCTGAGCCAAAGTCATGGGCGAGACTCGAGATAGGAGATGGAGGGGGGTAACCGGGGGAGGAATCGATGGGAAAAAGGGACGGGGGAGGGAGGGGGGGGGGGGGGGGGGGTAGTCATGTCTTTGCTGTCGTCGTCCGTGCACTACTGAACGCGGGTTTGTGTCGACTCATTCAGGACGGATGGATAACAGTTCCTAATGCTGCTTGTAGTCGCATCCGATGTTTTTTGAGATGCCGCAGTTAGTTCTAGGGGCGCGAGGGGGGGGGGGGGGGGTCCGTGAAATCGCGACGCTTCGTACATGTGCCACGGAAGAACCCCACCTCGAACCAATCATTGTTTGCCTCCGGGATGGTGCTCGCATAATGAAAAACAAGACTGTGGTTCCTTGGGGGAATGGAGTAATCGGCTGGGGAGGACGTAGTCTGGTTGCCTGCACTTCATAGGATGACACCATCTGGCAACACTACAACACCAGCAGCACATGATCACATCCATAAAATACTGCGAGAGTACAAACCGTTGGCACGTTAGGGAAACCAGACCAACTGTCACGTACGCCATGCTTCTCTTTCCGTCTCTCACACACATGTTGTCGAAGGAAGCCCGCGGAAAAGCGTCGGATTTTAATTGGTCAGCGGGATAAGCGCGGTCGATGCTACTGGTCAAGAATGACACACAAACACGCACACACAAACACACCTTGTACTCCCCCGTAAGCATCTCCGAGTTGATCACCACCTTTATCGCGTTCAGCACGATGCACACCGCCGAAACCGTGAACGCCGATCTCGAAACCTCCATCTCGCTGTACCATGTCATCGCCACCCCAACCATGATTGGGATCACCGCCACCTTGGCACGTTAAAAAAAAAAACACGAGAGGGGTACAGTCGTAGAAGGAAAGGCTCGGCCGTCATAAAAAAAAGCGTGGATGATGCCAAAGAAAATTCGAAAATTCGAGGTTTTTCGGTCGGAACGGTTTTCTCGACCCATTTTTTCTTGGCCAACCACAATGCTGCATGTCATCCCTTTCTCAGCCACAAACCCCTTTCTCTGCGGCTTTAGATACCACCACCATCGCGACGACCTCGATAGCGCCTTCTGCCAATCAAAACATCGCACCTCACTTGGAGGCGCTATAAACAGCGACAGCATACATGGGAAAACCACAAGAAAAAAACGGACAGAAAAAATTGGTGTCACGAGCGCGCAACGTGGGGAAAGATGTGAACCGAAACATACGCAAAGACATTCAGCGCAAACATGTGCTGCTACTGCTATATAGACCAAGCTGTTTGGGGGGTACCATAATAAGCACTCGATACTGATCTACGGAGATCTAAGGGGCGATCCCCCTTCTGCGTGCATGGGCTAGCATGCCTAGCGCACTCGTTAATGATACCAAGGTCTTGAGTCAACCTTCTCTTCTCTGCGCTCCTGACAACAAGCCGCCCGCCTCCAAACACAACCTTACCTTTCTTTCCATCGAGACCGAGCGCTTGAACACCCGCGTGGCAAGCAGCAGGACTAACAGCGGCCCCACGGCTTGCAGCATCTGCTCCGTCGCGCGGTTCCATCATTCCGTTCCGTTTTAGACGGGTACCAAGCAAGACGGTACGGGGCAAAAATGGATTACACAATAGTTGGATGAGCGGACAATCGATTCCCATCGTGTCGTTTCAGTTAAAGGAAGCTAAACAGTCTTCTCTTCTCTTGGGTTTATGAAACAGGACGGTACATGCAGAAGGGAACCAAATAACGCGGGTTGTACCAGCCGAACTCGCCCGCCGGCACCATGCCGCATACCCGTGCGTCGTAATGCGACCATACCGGTATGCCGTAAAGTGCCGTGTGTACCTGGTGGAACGTTGTTGGAACAGCGTACTATGCCGGCACTATACCGTGTACCGTAACGCGATAATACCGTTCACCGTAAAAGTGCCGTCCTTACCGCATGTACCCTACCGCCGTGTTTCGTGTGTACCTGGTCGAACGTTGTCGGGACGGCGATGTTGGCCCGTCCCACGAGCGTGTTGAGGGCGGTGGACACCGACAGGAGCGAGACCAGGGTCCACTGTCGCCGGTCGAACGCCTGCTTGCTGGTCTTCCTCTCGCGCCGGAAGACGGCCGTGCCGGCCCAGTTTATCGCCGTGTAGAATGAGCTCAGCTAAAAAACGTATGGCAGGAGAAGCGAGAAAAGCCAGCAGTGTCGGGAAAAAGCCAGCAGAGCAGGATGCACGAGAGGCGGGGGTAGCAAAAGAAAAAGCAAAAGTGGGTAGGTTCTCAGGGGTACGTCCTACCTCATGCCATCATGCCTGCTGCCAAACCGTGCTTCGAAGAGCTATAGAGCACCATACATAAGTGCCACAAAGTTCCACATACATTGAACCGTCTTGCAAAGCTCGATTCCCCGCAACAGAAAGAGCGGCAGCGCCTAAAAACGGCGGCGTTGTCGAGAATTTTCCGAACACACACGTATCTTTTGACGCACGATGCACATCCTCTTTTCTTCGTGTCGTGGAGTAGTCGAGGTTTGAAAATCGGTGCAGGGGGTGTGGTATCTTGTGTCATGTTACCTACGGCAGGTATGCTATACCGCCGTGCGTTGAACGAGCCTTCTGGCGAATATTGCAACCGTCGGTGGTGGTGGACCGAGGCAAACAATACGACGTTAAAAGATGTACAATGTACATCTTTTATTATTTCATGTTCTCCTTGAGTTCATCGGATGGAGCGCAGCTGTGGTAAGAGGGCATAAAACGTCGTCCCCAAATCCCCAAAATACTTGTCCGTTTAAAAGCGCTGTCGGTGCCACTTTCGACAAGCGCGGGTCGGCGAGGTCAGCCTGGTTCCTGGTATCCATGGAATCTACGTGCATGGCCCCACACATTTTCCACTACTTATGGAAGTACAACCACTATTTGCTTGTGTGAACCAATCTACTGCCGGGAACAACCTTCCTCCATTGCCATTCGCATCACAGCTAACGAAGAACTTTTCAAGACTCGGGGGAAAACTCTCGCCCGTTTGGGGTGGTCGAGCACAGCAGAGGTGTGCGAGTTCTATCTGTTAGGAAAAATAAATACACACACAAATATATTAAGGAAAAATAAATACACACACAGAAAGACTACCCATTCGAGATATATACCAACAGTAATATCTATCTGTGCACCGAGCGCTGTTGTACAAAATAAGCCGAAGACGCTGTCGCCGACCGTTCTTCAGAAAAAACAAGTATTTTTCCCGTTTGTCGAGGACGAAGTCGGAAACGGCACAGCACGTGTGTGCGTCCCACCTGAACTCTCTGAAGTCACACGGAATAATTCGAAAAAGGCTGACAGCCCGTACAAGCTGTACAGCAGTGTAGTACCCGTACGCCAGCAGCTTTCGTGTGACTGCCGTATGCATGACAACACCCTTGTTCCTGCCTTTACACCCAGCGCTGACTTCAAGTACGAGGATGAATAATTGTGGCACTCCCGGAGAATCGCTCTCGCCTGTGGATAAATCTTGAATTCCAATTCGACTACCGTGTGCCTACCAGGCTGAGACTTCTGACTATGGTTGACGGTTGACGGCCCTCTTGTCACCTCGTGTGTTGCGCAACGTGTCGTACAACCACCCAAGGCACCCAAAACACCCACTTGCTGTAACATACCCCCAAAAACGGCGATGCAGAGAGGAGATACCACATGCTAAAGCAGGACGTTCGGACATGAACCTACCGGGAGGAGAGAAGGGAAAAGCTCACCACGATAGGATAGTTGAAGCCCATGTCGGAGAGAACCACCTCAGTCATGATGGGTCGTCAATATAGCCGCCAAGGTGACCACCTAGGTGAGGCACGCACGCTCGAAATGCAAGGTGGGTGCCCGTGCTGGCGCTGGTGTGATCTGCCCATATGGTATTAGCCCGAAAAGGGGGTACGTGGGTGATACCCCCCCCCTGTCTGCAGGTTTGTCATGCACTGCTCAGGATCTGCTGTGTTCCAGGACCCGATATCCGCGCGGGTCCATGTGCATGTATGGTGCACGTCAGAGACATCCGCCACTTGTACCAGAAATGTGTGTTGACCTGCTGTGTCGCTGTAAGCAAAACCAACTGAGGCTTGCTTACAGTGGTTGATCTCGACCAACGACAGAAAAAGGAACAACTAGTCTATGTTGTGTGTTCGTAAGCCTGTGTAGTAATCCACCGAACCGTAAAATCTGAGTGCTATTTACAGACAAGGAGGGAAAGTTAACCCTCACTGCATCTGGCAGCAGTAGGGTGATTCTAAAACAAACGGTGCACCGCCCTCAAAAATGAAGACCGGAAGAACAAACGAATGTAGCAGGGTTCTATTTTGGAGCATGTACGTCCCCCAATCAATGTATCAGTTATTATTGCTTGGGATACATTTATTTGATGACAAAGAAACCGCGCACGGGCACACCTGCAACTCACCCATCCATCCATCCCATGTACAACGCAATCATCCCTTTGATCTCGAATCACCATACCACCTACCGTCAAAAAACGCGAAAGAGACAAGAGGCACCAAGCACAACAATGATGACCTCCAGGCCGTAAAATAGGATCCGTCGCCAACCTTCCTCTCTGCTGGTTACCCTCTCCTTCGTGGCAGCCAAAATCAATCAGTTCCTGCACCACTCGGTTCATCGACATAATTTCCACTCTGACCGTGGTCTCTACAAGGAACATACCCACCCCCGAAGTGCCTCTTATACACCCACCTCTCGATGCCGCAGCTATAGCTAAATTACTACCGGGGGGAGGTTCGCTACAATAGTTGTACCATCGTGCAATACGCACACGTCGAGAGAGCCAGCCGCGATGCCCACCTCCTCTACGAGGGTTTCTCAACATACACTCATCGCTGTCAGTAGTGAGCAGTGAGTCTGCTCTCTCGCGTGACAATCACTGCAAGTTCGGCGGATACAGCAAACCCAACCAGGCACAGATCACCCCCGAAGGGGGTACAGCAGGCGCGCTACCCAACCACAACAAACTCCCCCAAGATACTTTCTAACCTCGTGGAGTGTAGCTTGAAAACGTAACCCTGTTGATAGAAGATCAGCAGCAGCAGCAGCAGCAGCAGGCGGAGCTCGTTCAGCGTCTCGGGCACGGCGTTTGAGCCACGGTTGGTGCCCGCCAAGAACAACTTTCGCGAACTCGCTCGCGGTCAATTAACACCCAAACCCGGAGGTTCAGCGACGTTTCGCACTCTCCAAGCCCCACCCGCGGGAGAAATAACACGACCGAACACGCAGAATTACACACGAACGACCGACCACTGCGTAGACTATGTATTTCTCGAGACACGTCACAGAGCCGCGAAATCACAACAAGATCCGTTTTGTTTTGGTCGTTCCATAGTACAACTTCCCGCTGAAGCGATCATCGAAGGGCACACCATCCACCATCTAAGATACGTGACCCTCGCGGTTCGCCACCACCCTTTTTACCCTTGCATCAGCTATGCACATCACAGAGCACCGCCGCTCGCTCTTCGAGTTCTCTTGAGTGCGCAGCAACCGCCAACAGAAAAATCGGTTGATTGCCTCGAACTGCTGTACTCCCCCTTCTCCTAAACTAGCCATCTAGAGAAAAAATCCAGCGGAGTGCATAACTGTTGCGCTCTCAGCTCAAAAACGACGACTAAATGAGGCTGTGCCAAACTTCTGAGCTGTCAACTTTCCGAAGGGCACCCACTATTAGCTCTACCAGAAAATTGTCGTTTTCAAACTCAAAATACAAGCACCTAGTTCTTGCCCCATCATACATCATACCGTGCGGCAGGTTGATGCTGCGAGCGACAGGCAAGAGAATGGGACGACGAAAAGAACAATAAACAGAAAATAAAAGGACCCGCTGCGCTGTGCCTTAACAATTCTGCCATGCCAACGTCGCTGACACGTGATGCTTTCAACACATCTCCTCTGAAAGCAAAACTCTCGAACAAGCAGTCTCTCCTTGAGACCTATATGTTGCAACCAATCGCGCTTCAGAGAGCGCCGAGCTGAGCTAACAACAATTCTTCCATGCCAAGGTCGCCCACACATGATGCTTCACAACGCCTCTCATTCTGAGCAAAAACGAGCAGTCTCTCCATGAGCATTTTTATCTATATTTTTGTAACCAATACTCAGAGAGCGCCGAGTTGCGCTAACAACTCCTCGGTCTTGGCGTCCAGCTTGGCATCCTCCGCCTCCGATGGTCTCGCCACGCCGGCCGGGGTGTTGGTCGGGGCGTCCACCATCTTACCGTCCATCTCCAGACCGAGCTCGGCGAGCACCTGGCCAACGACTCCGTCCGCTTCCTCTTCTACACCCTCGCCGTCAAACTAGCGGGGACAAGGCGTGCGCGGATGGGAAGGACGGCGTCAAGGCGCGCACGCGAGCGGGTAGACACCATACGGTTAGTGGGGACAGACCGCCTTCGCGAGATATTAAGTACGAGGAAATAGAACCAGGGAGGGGTTACGCAGACCGTATCCCTACTCCCTAACCCTAACCCAACTCCCCCGATTGCACCATCTATCCAACAGGTTTACTTAATGAAGTAGAAAAACCCTGCGAGGGCTACTGGTCAGAGGTCGATACGGGACAGGTGGGAGGGTAGCGGTACAGCCAGTATGGATGACAACTAACGTAGGATCCAAGACCAGAGACGCAACTAAAAATAACTTATGCGGGGGCGGGGGATAGAAGAGCACGGTCTGGTCGGTAGCGGTACGACGGGGGGGGGGTGACGCGAAAAGAGAGCGGGGGGGGGGGGGGTTTGGAAAAATCCCACCAACTGGGGGGGAAAAGGGTAAGGGCCAAGGGCTGCCCCCCCATCCTGGGGAGGGAAAACCCTTTGGGGAAAAAAATTGTGGTTTAAAATTTTTCCCATTCCTTGCCCCCTCCAATTGCGTTCTTCCCCCAAAAAAAAAGGGGCGGGGGGGGAGGGGGGTAACCCCCAAACGAGGGGGGGGGGGGGCTGTGCGTGAAACCCCCCCTTTACCGTAAAACTTTCCCCCCGGATGGCGTTTCCCCGAAAAACTACATAACGGGAAAAAAAACATCCCCCCGAAAACCCCCCCCCCTAAGGAAAAACCGCCCCCTTTTTAAAAACACCAAAAGGCCTCCCCCAAAGGAAAAAAAACCCCCCCTCCCCCAAAAATTTCCCCCCGGCCAAGAACCCGTCC